ATGTCAGAACCATGCTTGACACAGTTCACGGCAACCCGACCTGAACGTCGCCCAGCGCTGATAGCACGTGGACTGTCCAGGTTAAATGTTGACATTGCTGCCCTTAGCGAGACCCGCTTCCCTGGCGAAGGCAGCCTCCAGGAGCATGGCGCCAGATACATACTCTTCTGGTCGGGGAAACCTGCACCAGAGAGGCGTCTTTCAGGCATCGGTTTCATGATCAGCACCTCCATCGCTGCCAGGTTGGAAAATCTGCCAACCGGTCATTCCGACCGCATCATGTCTATGCACCTCCCTCTGAAAAACAACCAGTATGCCACTCTTTTCAGTGTGCACGCTTCAACTCTACAAGCTCAACCTGCAGAAGGAGACAAGTTCTACTCAGAGCTCTGCAGCCGTCTTCAAAGCACCCCTGCAGAAGACAAGGTGATAATCCTTTGTGATTTCAATGCCAGAGTGGGTCAAAATGCAGATGCTTGAAAAGGCGTACTTGGCAGACGTGGCGTTGGTAACTACAATGATAACGGGCGTTTGCTGCTGGAGCTTTTAACTGAGCAGTAACTTGTCATTACCAACGGCATTTTCCAGCAAACGGACAGTCTTAAAACAACCTGGATCATCGGTCCAAACATTGGCACCTTATACACTACATTCTTGTACATCAGCGAGAACTCAAAGACGTACTTCACACCAGTGCAGAAGGCCACGCCGGCCATCTGCAAACTTTGATTGCACTTCAAACCCAAACCAAGAAAGGGAGGGGCCTCCAAGAAAAAAGTTCAATCTGATCAAGATTCAATCAGCTGAAGTGAAAGCTGACTTTCAGGCTGGCTTGAAAACGGCGTCTGCACAGTAGATCCCTCTCCTGAAATACTCTGGGATCAACTGAAGACTGCCATCCTTTCAGACATCTGAAGAAGTTCTGGGGTTTACCATCAGGAAGAACAAAGACTGCTTCGATGAGAACAACCAAAAGATTCAGAAACTGCTGGCGAAGAAGAGATCAGCCCACCATTCCCATCTGGGTCAGCCATCATGTTCTGTGAGGAGGGCTGCCTTCTGTCTCATTTGCAGCAAGCTTCGAGAGATCCAAAATGAGTGGTGGACCATCATCGGAGAGAGAAATCAGCTATTTACAGATCTCAGTGACTACATAGGCTTCTACGAAGCCCTCACGGAAGTGTATGGCCCGAGTCACCGGGTCCAGAGTCCCTTGCGTAGTGCGGATGGACGGGTGCTTTTCACAGACAAGGAATCTATCCTGAGCCGTTGGTCTGGGTACTTCCAGGCTCTCTTCAGCGCTGACCATGTCGTACAGGACCCGGGAGTTCTCCGCATCTCCACCAACAAGGCAAAGCAGAATTGGATCAACTACCCTCTGTAGAAGAAATTACCAAAGCTATAGGGCAGATGAGGAATGGTAAGGCGGTGCGGGTCGACGGGAGTCGACAGGATTCCACCAAAAATCTGAAAAGATGGCGGAACAACATTACACAGCAAGCTCCACGAACTCCTTGTCTGTTGTTGGGGGCAGGGCAAACTTGCAAGTGACCTCACGCATTCATCGTCACAATTGTACAAAAACAAGGGATAAAATTCAGATTGCTCCAAATACCGGGAGGTCACTCTGCTCTCCATCGCAGAAAAAATCCTTGCTCGTGTGCTCCTAAACAGATTGGTGTCCACCATCGCTTAAGACCAACTACCAGAAACCCAATGGGACGTCAGCGCCAAACAGGGTCATCGCAGCTATGGTGTTCGTCCCCAGGCAACTTCAAGAAAAATGCCGGGAGCAGAACAAAGGGCTATACGCAACGTTTAAGCAGAAAAAGGACTGTGGATGATGATGGAGCGCCTCGGCTTCCCCCAGAGTCTCAGCATGGTCATCCAATTGCACAAAACCGGCGCAACCAAGTCAGGTTGAACAGCGACCTATCCGTACCCTTTACCATCGTCAACTGCGTGAAACAGGGCTGTGTCCTGGCACTGACTCTGTTTAGCATCTTTTTAAGCATGATGCTTAAACTGGCCACAGAATACCTCGACGATGACAATGCTGTGTACATTTGCTATCGCCTTGACGGCAATCTGTTTAACATCAGGAGACTGCACCCCACCCAAAGACTTGACCTCCTCTTCGCCGACAACACTTCCCTTGTCGCCCACACCGAAAGAACGCTGTAGCGCCTAACGTCCTGCTTTGCAGAGGCTACCCGACTCTTCGGACTCGAGATCAGCTTGAAGAAGACGGAGGTCCTCCACCAGCCTGCACCCCGAAAAGAGTACCACTCTCCTTACATCAGCATCGGCGAGACAGCTGAAAACAGTTCACCAGTACACTTACCTGGGGTGTACCATCACATCGGATGCCAAGATCGACAGGGAAGTTGACAACAAACTGGCTAAGGCAAACAGCGCATTTGGCAGACTCTACGAAAGAGTTTGGAACAGCAAGCATCTGAAGAAGGGGACTAAGAAGAGGACTAAGATTAGCGTCTATAGAGCCGTCGTACTCACCACCCTGCTGTACGGCTCTGAGTCGTGGGTAATCTATTGAGAGCTTCCATCAGCGCTGTCTCCGTACCATCCTCAACATTCCCTGGAGTGACTACGTCACTAAAGTTGAGGTCCTCGAACAGGCGGAAATCACCAGCATTGAAGGCATGTTGCTGAAGTCACAGTTACGCTGGGCAGAGCACGTCTCCAGAGTGGGAGACCATCGCCTGCTAAAAGTAAACGTACACTCCACTGGAGACCGTGACAGAGGGGCACCAAGGAATCGTTATAAGGACTCCCTCAAGAAGTCCCTCGATACCTGCCATATTGAACATCGCCAGTGGTCGACACTTGCTGCTGACTGTAAATCCTTGTGTCGCATCGTCTACCAGGACGTCTCCACCTTTGAGGACCCTCGCAGGGACAACCTGAAGGAGAAACACCGCGGAAGGACCGTGAAGCTTCATCAGCTATACCAGACAAGACCTTTAATTGCAGTCGCTGCGACCGGATTTGTCTGTCCCGCATTGGCTTAGTCGGCCATCAGCGTGCCTGCAGTCGACGAAGCTAAGCCAAGAAGATATATATAAGTGTAAATATAAACTAAATAACGAGATATTAGTGAGTGCATATTCGTGCGATTGCGTCCATACGCAGATAAGAAAATAAATATTTAATTTAATTTATGATTCAAACAAAATAGTGCTCAGTGTAGTTAAACAGAACTATGAAGTATATATTAATGAATACACATATATCTAGTTTTGTAGTGCAACTTAAATTTTCATGGTTTCCCAAGTTGTCAGGCACATATGAGGAATGAGCCACTTGTTACAGTTGTTTGTTTTTTTTTTAAATAGTAGGTTGCATGGAAGGAGCGCTAAATTATACGCAGATTTGAAGCTCAAAGTTAACATAAATCAAATATATTATTGAGGCGCAAATTTAAATGACACTCAGTATGTAAAAAAAAAGCAGTAATAAGTGGCTCATTCACCATATGTACCTTTGGAAACCATGAAACTCTAATTTGCACTACAGACGAAGGTATATGTGTATATATTAATATAGGTATAGGGTTAGGTAAATTAGATAACTAGATATTAGCGACCGTATACGCGTGTGCTGGGGTTCATACCCTGTTATGCAAATAAATAATTAGAAAATTTAGCCAACAGGTGTAGACATAATAGTAATCAATGTGATTAGACAGAGGTAAGAAATATATGTTAATAAATACACATATACCTACATTTGGTATGCGACTAAAGTTTCGTTAGCTACCCAACTCCTCGGGCACGAGATATAGCGTACTGCTTATTTTAAAAATAAACAATAAGCAATATCACGTGCCCGATGAATTGGTTAACCAGCGAAATTCGAGTCGTACTTCAAACGTAGGTATATGGGTATTTATTAACACACACACACACACACACACACACACACACACACACACACATATATATATATATATATATATATATATATACAAATGTAAGGTAGGTTAAATGCATTGTCCAAACATTATATTTTTTAAAGTGCTCGATACAGCTGATTGCATTTATGTAGCAGTTTATGACATGTTTTTGTTATAATTTTTAATATTATATATATATATATATATATATATATAGCACCACCCGTTTTAATGAGTTTGAGTCATGTCTACCGGCCTGTGCATTTGAGTGATTTAATAAAGAAAACTTTCTTTGTTAATTTTCTCAATTAAGTGGGTTGATAGTCATGATTCACACTGTTTAAAAAAAAACTGGTTTGTCCAGTCAGATACGTGTATCCACAAAATAAGGTTTTCCATGTGCCTCTGGCAGCAAGACCTCTGTTCAGGAGATTAAAGGTTTTGAGGACCGTGCAACCACCTCTTAACTGCTGTTGTTCCCAGTTTCGCCTTAACCTTGGGTGGTAGCACCTGTTAGAGCCCCAGCTTTGGGCAAATAGGGAATTCCCCATCGAAAAAAAAATCAACTATGCTTTTTTATAGTAAAGTGACAATACAACACAAAAAGTATAAAAATACTTTTTATGATAAAATTCCCAGCAATATATTTTAAGATTTACAAAGAATATATCTAAAAAAGAAGTTTAACCTGAAATTATAAAATTATTAATTTATTTATTAATTTTTGACATGTATTTATTTGAAATTCGTTATTATTAGATGAAGCATTAAAAATAATTATTAATAATTTTTGACTAGTATTTACTTTCAAGTTCGTAATTATGAGATGAAGCAATAAAAACAATTATTATTAATTTATTTATTAATTTTTGACATGTATTTATTTGAAATTCGTTATTATTAGATGGGGCAGTGTCAACAATTATGATTGAATTTTTAATTAGATGAGCCATTGTTAACAATTATTATTAAATTTTGACTAGTATGTAATAAATATCAAAATGAAAGTACATCTTCAGTTTTTTTTAGATGAAGATATTGCTATTTATTCATTTTGACAATTATTGTAATTTCAATTTTGTTTTATTACATTAAGCAATGTCAACTAATATTATTAATTTTTTCTTAGCATTTACTATCATATTAATTTTCTTATTAGTTGGAGCATTGTCACCTATTATTGTTAATTTTTCTAGTATTTACTTCCAACTCAATTTTTCTTTTTACGTGAAATATTGTCAACCCTTGTTTTTTATCTTTAACAAGTACTCCTTTTCGTTTTAATTCTTTCACTGTTTTTTTTTTTTTTTTCGTGCAAATTTTACTCTGGCCGTCAAATCTATCGCAGTGAGTCATCACCACTTTGTCTAAAATGATAATCATAATTCATTCGCTGACACGGACAAGGTTTTCACTTTTCCCTGAAAAGCAATCACTTCTGTTCTATTAGTTATTTCTGATGTTAAAATAGCGTGGGAAACGCCGAATAAACGAGCCGGATTCTAGAAGTTTACATTGAATTTCTCGCTCGAAATCTTGGGCGTAAATAGACGATTATACATTGAGGGCAGAATGCACTTCCATTTGCAAAGGCCCTGCAGACAAGATTGATGACCATTGTTACCCACTAAGCAGCCTAGAAGTTGTTTTTTTTTTTTTTTTTGTAATAATTTAATCCCAGGTAAGGCGATAATGCCACTAAGACGCAATGGCTTACTGAGGGTAAAAGAAAATGAGAAGACTTTATGAGAAGGAACCGGAATCCCAACCCTAAACAAAAAAAAAAAAACAAGGACTAAACCTCTATTCTACGCTAGTCTTCAAAAGACAGGGAAGGATTGTGAGCCAGGCAAAACTTAGCTTCGCCTGGCGCAAGATCACATTGCTGGAATGCTCATAGATATAAAACGGCAAGTGAGAGGAAAAAATGGCCTGTTTTGGTCTTTTCAATTTATTATCGGTAGACATAATTTTAACAACAAAAGATAGGCAGAGGATAATGTATTGATGACTGACACAGAAAGAAAACTATGGGATGTTCTAGATAAGGTACTAAAGAAGAACATGAAAAAAGGCCTAACAAGACAGAAATTAAGGTTGTCAGTAAGTGGAATGGCCCAAATGGCAAATTAAGAATGTCAAAACCAAGCAAGTCCGAAAAATATAAATATCTGGGAAGTATTTTAACAGATAACAGAAAATGTTATACTGAAGTCTTAAGGCGAACTGAAATAGCAAATGATATCTTCCAAATGCTAAATAAAGTATGAAAAAAACAGAAAAACAGATGAATACTGGACAATTTCCTCACAGATGAAGAGGATACTTGAGACAGCAGTGATGTGGTTCTACAGAAAGATGCTGGAAATATATTCTATTAACCATTTTATTATGTACTTAGTTTTATTTTATTAGAAACAAAAAGAAATTGCTGAGCTGCCATGTAATATCAACCCGCCTATATGTTAGTGAATACTGGATAATTTTCTCACAGATGACGAGGAGACTTGAGACAGCAGTGATGTGGTTCTACAGAAGGATGCTGGGAATATATTCTATTAGCCATTTTATTACGTACTTAGTTTTATTTTATTATAAACAGAAAAAAAATTGCTGAGCTACAATGTAATATCAACCCTCCATATATGTTAGTGAATACTGGATAATTTCCTCCCAGATGAAAATATGGCAACAAAGATGTTGTTCTACAGAAGGATGCTGAGAATATGATGGACGAAGCATGTGAGCGATGAGCATGTCTTAAAGAAAATGACATAAACTGGTGTTTTCTTTAACAGTTTATCAACCATTTAAAGGCTAAAAATATTTCGGGTTGTAGGAGGTTGTTTACAGTACCTGGTGTTCGCAAGTAGTACCTCCCCCCCATCTAAGGACAGTAAACAGATGCGTAGAATAAGAAAAATATGAAGTTTTTGCGCATATTAAGGTCAGGCATCGATGGCCAATCGTTCTTATGAGTAACTTTTTGGATATTATCCCCAGTTCACTGTCATTTGAGTGAGTGAATGTTTTGGAAGCTGAGATTATGTTAATGGGTAACTTTTAGCCTTAGAATGTGTGACATTGTTTTTAGTAGGCTATGGTGTTTCTGTCATGATTTTCACAGGCTTGAATGTGCTAGTGTATCATATTTATTTCCATGTTAATCACATGATAGGCTCAAGAACACGTTTTCATATTTTTGGTAGTTCTCTGGTTTGAACACTTGTGCGCAGGCGGAAACATGAGTTTGGCATTAATGGACCAA